CCCCTCTAAAGACAACCCTAAAATTCATATTTCATGACCCATTGAAAAGTTCTGTACTAAATAATTCCATGACTATTCTACTGACATACAAAGGGGATTTCGGCGAAAACAGGCCATGCTCTTAAAAAAAGGGCAAACTAAATACATATAGCTATAAAAATATATAAAAAAACTCCCAAAAACTTGTTAGTGGGGTGTAACATGCACTGGTGGGTCTCCCTCTGTGCACTACACTACACCAATGCTTGAGGCGTTGACCCATTTTTAGAGAACTACGAATTACAAACGAGTTTTCAAATCCGAAGGCACTGCAGTTTGGCTTCAGTCTTTTTCTATACTGACTTCATTATAACGAGGAGTGACCAAAAAGTTACGCATTTATAAGTAACTTGTTTATCACTGCCCTCTGGTAGACTTTACGAAGGCGCTCTCTTGGCCTAGAGGTTAAGGTGTTCATCTCTCATTCAAAAGTCCCGTGTTCGAATCCAGGTAGCAATGGAAAAGTTTCTTCTCTAAAATGGTCTCCTTTCACCTCCTTTCCTGCTCTCTAGCAATGTTCTGTTTGTGTGCTTTCGTCTCCACTTTCTGCCCCCACCCCCTCACCTCCTGTGCCCCCTCCTCTGGGCTCCTGACGCCTTCTGCAGCCTTTCTACTGCTACTCCTTGACTCCTTCTTACAGGTGTCTTTCAGCCACACCCCTGATCTTCTGGTAAGAAAGATCTACACCTAGCCTTCTCGGACAAAGGTGAACAATCTCGGAGGCCCGTTTGCAAGTTGCGCACGTTAAAGATCCATTTGTGCTCTAAAATCGACAAGAGTAGGCCTCGGCCGCCCCTAGGGCAAATATCAACATTTCCTACCTACTGAAAATGTTTAATGTGTCCCACGCGCTCGTAGTCATATATATGACCTTATAAAGTTTCGAGCGCCGTAAAACACTTACCCCACACACACACAAAAAAAAAGATGGCTGAGGATCAGCTGTGGAGAGCACAGGCGAGCACATACTTGTGTACTGGTGCCGTGCGATTATTGAAAGCTAGGAATCGTAGGAATCGACTCGGAACCCAACTACTTACTTTCTAATGATGTGATTTCTTCCGGTGGTTACCTGGTTGGCTCCGAACATCTTCAGGATTTAGGATAACCTTGATTTTGGAACATTACGAAGCGTGAAATTCAATGATTAAAATAACTGGTAACTGTTGGTTTACGGGAAAAGGATTAATCATGGGAATCGGTGAAAGATGGCGTACAGCAAGATAGTTCACTCCTGTCTTTGAGCCAAGTAACAAACTGTCCTCAAAATCCAGTGGCGCCCTCTTCGAAAAAGCGCGGACTTTGTGAACAGAGTTACCCTACTTGGGTGGGGGAAATCAAAGTGAAACTAACAAGTTTTTGTATAAATTATAATTAAAATTTCGGAATAACATCTTTCTTTTATTGGTTACGCTGACAAAAATCCCCTTCATGTTAAAGGGGCGACTGTTTTCGTCGTTTAATTTGGCTTTAGAACGAGAAGCGAGAGGTCATTAAAATAAAATGCATGTAAACCCAAAACTCCGCACTGAGCGAACCGGAACAGCTGATGCGAAAGAGGGTGCTATTCCTATTCTTCTTCTGGAGAAACGAAAGAGAACTTCGAAATAAAGACTGCAGCGACATCTGAAGCAATGCGCGGACTTCCGCGGACACTTGTTTGGCCGAGTGAACTATCTTGTTATGTACGATATTATTTAAATCAGTTCAGGATTCGATTCTTCGCCCAGCTCTAGTGGGTACAGCACTGACCTATCAATTGGAAAACTTTCTGTAATAGCCTGTGTCAAATAACACACACACGCAGTTCTTACAGCCCAGCTGGCATTCTAATCTGATCAGAACAGAGACATTAAATTGTCTTCTGAGAGAGCAGTGGGATGAATGCGAGGGGGGGGGCGGGGGGAGGGGGAGAGTTGTGTTTTGGTTTTTAGATTTGGAAAAATTGCAGGATTTCGAGGCTTCTGGGGAACAAACTGTCTGTCTCCGAGTCCTGTTGGGCGCTTGTTTAACTTTGCGCATGCGTTGTTCAGCTATGACCGTTGAGTTGGAGCAGGGGATCGGAAGTGGCCTGTCGTCAGCTCTGACGTGATTCCCCGTCGTCGAAGGAAGTCGAGGAGAACAGACTCAGAGAATGGA